GAGGCGGTGCTGAGGGCCAGGGTTTGGGGGTGGGATGGCAGGGGTAGGGGAGCGGTTGGGCTGGGGGAGCTGAAAGGGCTTTTCCCACCCAAACAATTCCATGGTTCTGTGATTCTGCTGGGCACGGGCCCCACTGCCAAGCGGGAGGCGTGGGTGTGCAAAGCCGTTATTGACTATGCAAGAGGACAACCCTATAACAAGGGGAAAACCAGTGGAGACCATGAGGAGGAGCGGTCTGGAACATCCGCCCTCCACCGGATTCAAAGATGCATCGGGCGCAGGGACCGCACGGACGGACAGACAGGCAGACCGCACGCAGAGCCGTGGTGGTAGCTATCACAACACTCTCGTGCTCTCTGTTTCTCTCTCTCTCCTTCACTTTCACCCTTTTCCTCCCTTTCTCTGCGTGTTTATCGTTGGCCAAATGAAGCGACTTGGCCCTGGACCCCGTTTCGAGCCTTAATTCCATTCCCGAGGATGTAAAAGGCACCCAGTCGTGATAAAACACCGGAGTCAAAGAGAAGTCAAGCGCAGCCACCCTCAAACCCCCAGAATTATTTAATAATTAAAATTTAAATTTTAAATTCAATTTTTTTAAAATTATTTTAATTTAATAATTACAATTTAATTTAATTACATATTCCATGTTAATTCATTTAATTAAATATGTCCTTAATTTTTCGGGTGGTAGGGATGGAGAGGGTGCCCTTACCCATGGCGTTGCTGTTCATCAAGAAAACACCGAGAGAGGCTCCGGTGTTGTCTTCCAAACACAGGAAGAAGGTCTGGACGCCGTACAAGTTCTCCATGTTCTTGAAGGAAAAGAGAAAAGCTAATTAAAGAAAAAAAAAAAACCAAACCATAACCGTGTGCACCCTGCAGCACCCCAAAAACGCGTCACCTGTGAGGTCGAATGTCTACAAAGGAAACAAAGAGCCATCAATGGCCAACGAGAAGGTCATTGGGTTTATTTCTCTCTCATGGGAATCCCAGAATCCCAGCGTGGTGAGGGTTGGAAGGGCCCTCCAGAGATCACCCAGCCCAACCCCCGCACCCAAGCAGGTTCACCCAGAGCAGGGGGCACAGGACAGCGTCCAGGTGGGGGTTGAAGATCTCCAGAGAAGGAGACTCCACAGACCCCCTGGGCAGCCTGGGCCAGGGCTCCATCACC